CAGACCCAGCTCCTTGGCCTCGCAGGTGTGTCCTGCGGATGGGATGTGGAGAGCAAAAGTGGTTTATGAATGTTTATGAGCCATAAGCCATAAAGGATCCATATTATACATATCGAAATCATTATATATATATATAATTGCGCTCTGCAGAGAGGATCGGTTCTCCCTACTTCCATGGGCTCGGACTTTCGTCAGAGCCGCACGGGCTAAGAATCATGGGACAAACATTGGGACAAACGGTTGTCGGCCCAAAACGAAGAACCGCATTCTGCGATGCATCCAGAAATGTGGTATCAACAGCAGATGCACCTCAAAGAGGACAGATGGAGTTCACCTTCTGCCGACTTCCATGCAGCTACCGGAAAAGCATTAACATCCGGCTTTAGGCTGTTCGTCAGCCTGTACACAACTTGAATTTGGGCCCTTGCGCCCGAAGAAATTACAAGATAAAACAGGAGGAGGAGGAGGAGAGGGAAAACTGCAAGCTGTGGTGTGCCAAGCATGTCCAGCAGGCGCATATGACATTTTCATACATTTTCCATGTCCGCCGTCGAAGCTGCATGCCAACCAGAAACAATGCGGCGCGAAGCCAGCCATTCCCAAGTCCAAAAGCTCGCATAACCAGCCGAAATATCGCAAATTGCATCAAATTGCCAACCACTTCTGCCCACGATGAAGGGAGCTATCATCAAGTCTTGCAACTTGCCAGCCTGTTGTTGCGCGACGCCGTTGTCTTGCAAGTGCTTGGCAGTGGCGCAAGAACAATCCGCACAGCATTCTGGATTGACAACACTAGAAATGTAGCCACCTGAAATTTTTACCTGAACTTTTGGACATGGAGCTCACTGGCATTCCGCCAAGATGTTTTCCAAAGCAATGCGCAGAGGAAGTTTGAAACACCCAATGATGACAAAGACAAACAGGGCAGTCTCCCAAGCAATGACAAGATCGCCGACATGGTACTGTGCACCATCCAAACTTCCACATCTGAGTATCCAGCAAAAGGAGCGAAGAGAGCTCACCAAACATGTATCATGAACAAACGGATGCAACCAAACCTGAAACGCTCTGCTGAAATCAGTCTGACCACTGGAAGGGGTTTGAGCCCAGACTATATATATATATATATTACATATATATATATATATCTATCTATCTGTCTATCTATATATATATATATATATTACATACCTATCTATCTATCTATCTGTCTGTCTGTCTGTCTATCTATCTATCTGTCTATCTATCTATCTATTTATCTATCTATCTATATGCTTGTATGTACGTATACTTGTGTATATATATATGAGTGAGGATATATTCTGTAATTTTGTTGGGTACCTAGGGTCCCAGGGCTTTGACTCATAGCCTTCCTTTAGGGTATGGGACAAAATTAAGACCTGGGGTGCCCAATTCCGACCCATAAGCCATATATGATCCATATAACTGACGATATATGACCCATAGTCCTGCAACTGGGATCTAATATCAAAAACATTGTTATATTTCCTCAATTAAGAAAGACACATAAGGAATTCACCAACCTTTCTGTGCTCATGGCTCACCATCACAAGTTGATGGAAAACTCGTAAAATGTTTTTTTTAACAAGACAATCACCAATGAGCGATGATGGAAAGCCAAACCAAGCCAATCTCAGAGCTTATGACTCCGCTTAGCTCTTCAAACACGAATCCAAACCCAGCACATCAGGTCCTCCAACTAGAGCACAGCCCACGGATTTCAGCGCCACCGAGGCTCCTTAGGAAGGGAACTGGTTGAGGTCACCCTCTGGTAATCTCAAACATGGCTGAGATTCTCTCCCCTTCATAGATGACTGTCCCATTTTTTTAATGCCAATGTAGGGATTTTCCATTGCCATGTTGATTACAGGAAGCTGGATGTCCTCCATAGAAATTCACTGTGGGTGAACCCCTGCACTGGGTCTGGGGATGGCTGGTTGGTGCTTTCGATCCACAAAAATAGCACTGGATGGGATTCATGAACAGCAACTGGCTGAAAAAGACCGAAAGTTGCGAGTAGACTCAGACTAACAGACTGACGAAAATTCATTCGGATGATTTCCCAACAGGATAGTGAATAAAAAGTTCCCATGTTACCAGTGGGTTCACCAAAATTCATGGATGATTTCCTGATTTCCCAACTAAAACCCTTCATGGAATGGATAGTTCGTAAAAATTCCCCAGATCACCAGTGGATTCGCCAGCTCCTGCCATCAGCTGCACGAGATCATCCTCTTGCTTCTCCTGGGCTCCAAAATTGCTGGGAATTCATGGGATGATCTTTCCAAACATGCTATAAATTCAAACTCAGGATATGATGATATGGTCATTCCAAGGGATAAATACTCATTTAAAAAAACATTCATGACAGAATTAAACCATATAAGTCATCCCCAGATGGAAAAGTAGTTCTTACCATCAAATTAGGGATCTACTTGCCCATCCCGGGATGACATTGAATCATTGACATGCCGGCCAACCCAACCCAGCAACAACCTTGCCTCCAGAGCGTAAGGAATCTGCACCTCACTTGGGGAATCCTAAGGTGAACTGCTTGGTAGGTCTAGGAATTCTACACCAAAATTCTGTGACAATCCCACTGCATCGGACTCTTATGAAAAACAATTACAATGCTACTGTTGAGAGGTGGTTTATCCCATGATTTATTGGGTTTCAACCATCCGGTTGGTGGCGCAGGATTTTTTCCAGGATTTCTTCCATGGTATCACCATCATATACTACAGTACGGCTTCTGCGAAATCTCATAGCACGTCAACTTGTGCCTTGTGACGATGTTTCTGGCTGAAGTAACTTACATACCTAACGTATTCTAACGTATAGTACTTGCTCGTGATTCTCGCAGGAAATCCTTATTTTGGTGAACATCCCCATGATTTATATATATATATATATACATATGGAAGCGCCCAAAAAATACCTGGAAAATGATGTCCTGACAAAAACACACGTCAATCAACCCAATTGATTCCAATCAATGGAATGAACCTACTATAGATTAAAATATGGTGTCTATTTACATTATACATATATAAATATATATGCAAAAGATCCACATCAATGTGTCCCACAATTTCATTTCTCCACTAACATTGTTTAGCTTGGGAATGTAAAACATCATATTTTTAACAAACCCACATGGTACAATAGTAAATCCCCAACTAACAAAAATCTTTTTTTTTTTTCGCCATGCTAGTTTTGTGGAGATTTACCCATTGCCAAATGGCAACTAATTAGTAACATTTAGTAACTAATTCGTGTAAATCATGATGTTTTTCTGGGTTTTCTCACCAAATTACCATGAAAGCCTGAAAGCACCGAAAAAAATCACCAATTTTAGTTCTTCGAGGTCTATTAACCCTGTCTATCACCCCTTCAATCACCATACATGAAAATCCACAAAGGCGCCAGCGCCAAGGCTGTGCTGGGCTCAGCTCCCATAGCCTCCACATCGCTCAGCGCGTGGAAGGCCGCCACCTGCCATGGAAATATATGGCAAATGTATGGAAAATGTATGGAAAATAGACCCAGAAGCTCCATGGTGCTGGAATATTTACCTACATTTACCCCAGAGATTGGGAGCATATTGAAAATATAGAGAAAATATATGGAAATATAGTGGAATATAGTTATATGGAAAATGTATGGACATATATATATATATACCTAAGTCATGGGAATTCATGATGGGATAAATTGGACATATGATGGAAAAAATGGATCAACAAATGGAACAAAATATGGTCATTGATTATAAATATATATATATATTAATTATGATGGGCAATGTCCGACTGAGGTTGGAATTAGGATAACAACATAGGGAAAACAAATCAGCTTCATAACTACAGTATCAGGTATTGTGATATGGATTGATTTGGAAGCTCATGAAATGGTATGGAATGTATGATAGGAAGTATGATGCGAAATGTCCGACTGGGAAAAAATATATATACATATATTATGACAAGACAAATGATGGAATTCTTGTGGGAATGACGATGGGACGTTTTCGACTATGGTTTATTTCCAACTGAGGCTTCATGGGAGATGTTACAACTGATGGGAATTCCTTATTGGAAGACAAATTGGAATGTATACGTTTAGTATGAATCATCTGTCTAAGTAATTTGGGGTACTGCGACAATCTGAAACCAGTTGGATCATGTGTCACCTTTTTGCAATTCACTGACTGCTGCCCGCAGGCCTTGAGCCGGGCTCGAAGCTAAGGAAAACAGAGCAGCTGTGTGCTGCTAGCCCCTCGCTAGCTACTTGGTGTAGCTCCGTGTGTTTCTGAGCCCATACGTATCCCTGTGCACCCCGTAGCATTGGCACCGGAGCCTTTGGTGGTGGGACGTGCTTCATCACTGCCGAGATCTTTGGCAAGATTTCATCTTCCAGTGGTCGAGGTGGTGGACGTGGTGGTGGTAGTGGACGCCCTAGCCACTACCGTGCTCGATCTCGATCGCGATCGGCGGTGAGATCGAGAAGTGGCCACTCTGGGACACATCCACCTGTGTTCTCAGCCTTTCCTCCAGTTCGAAGACCAACTGCTGCTGAAGGAGACCGAAAGGGAACTGGCAAAGGTGATAAGGGAACACCTCCTCGAGAAGAACGTCCTGAACCGGATCCAGAGCCACAGCCTGGTGAGGATTTAGACGTCCGAGCTGGGTACTTGGAGCTGATCAACCTGTGGTGGGTGCTACGTAACCGGAACCCAGGAGCTGCCTTGCTGGCCTGGAACTTTCTGGTGGACAACGCTCCTGCTCATATCCTGCCACCCACGGTGGGACAACGCACAGCTACGTCTACGTCTCGGAGGGTCTGAACCTTGTGGACACCTTCGACGTTTTTGATTTTGACTTGGTCCCTGACGATCAGGACTGAGCTTTCTTTTTCCTTGCATTTGACCTATCCTTTGACTATTTGGAGACGGTCCCTTTTTCCAGATCTTTGACAAGATGGAGAATTCCAAACAAACTGCAGAGGTAGTTCCATCATGGGACGGAAATCCTCGTGGATGGCGCCGTTACCAACGTGAGGTGCTTTGGTTCTACATGGGGACTCGCAAATCCCAGCGAAGCCTGTTGGGTCCTCGTCTGGTATCAAAGCTCACAGGTCCTGCCCGACTTCTTGCGATGTCTTGGAGTCACTTGGACATCGCTGGACCTGATGGTGTGAAAAATGTCTTGAAACGCCTTGAGTCCTCTCCACTGGTGAGGAAAAAGATTCCCAACTCTGCGGCGACGATGACTCAGTACTTTGGGTACAGACGTCACAATGGTGAGAACATCAATGCCTACCTGGTTCGTGAGAGCCTCTTCTATGAGGAATTTGTAGAGTCACTCATGGAGCTCAAGGGCGCGCAAGGCGACGTCATGAAGGACTTGGAGACCATTGATGAGACCTCGGAGTCTGAGTCGGAGTCAGCTGGTGGTGATTCTCGACCTGGCTACAAACGAGTACCTACTGAAGAACCTGCCGCTGACCTTCCTCGTGCTTCTGATGATGAACGACCTGGACAAGTACCACCTTCTGGACAAGTTCCTCCTTCTGGACAAGATGCCGGTTCTCGTCGAGCACGATCCTTGCGGAGTGTGCAGAGTCAACGCGGACTCAACCTTGCCGACTCCTTCATCCTCAATCAACTTCGTGGATGGCGACTTTTGAGTGGTGCTGCTTTGTCGAGTGAAGAGTGGCGTTCCATTCTGGCATCAACGAAGAATCAGCTGGACTATGACTCCATTTCTTCGGCGCTCATGGTTCTCTTCGACGAGCAGATTCCTCATCAACATCGTCTACATCAACATCATTCCCAACATCATGGCGGTGGACCTCATCACTTCAACATGGCCGAGGGCGATGACTGGTCGTGGGATGATTCCTCATGGTGGGATGATCAATGGGCAGCGCAAGTGCGCTGGGATGATGATGGATGGGAAGCTCAACCTGAAGAAGAACATGGAGAAGAACAAGAAGCGGCCGATACGGCCAATGATGGAGAAGCTCTTGCGGCTGAACGCTCATGGAGTCAAGCCCAACGGACTACACAGCTGATCAAGAAGGACAGGGGTTTTGGCTCTCAAGCGGCCTCTTCAAGGACGGGTTGCTTCATATGTGGTGGCAACCATTTGGCTCGAGAATGTCCAGATCGTAATGCCCCTCACCGTGGTGGAAAGGGTGGCAAACGTGTTTCCTTCTTCCTTGAGGAGCCCTACTACCAGGACTACGTCATGCATAAAGGCAAGGGCAAGCCAAAGGGAGGTGGAAAGATGAACTTCACCATGGAGGACCTCTACGCCTTTGTGAAGGGCAAGTCCAAGGGTGGTGGAAAATTCAAGTCCAAGAACTCAGGCAACGTCAATGCATACAGCATGAGCGACTATGACGCTTATGGCCTTCAGTTTGACACCGAGAAGGAAGACCTCACACACTTGAACCTTGGGAAGATCGAGAAGGAAGGCAATAGCCTGGGCATGTTGGACTGTGGCGCAACCTGCAGTGCTGGACCGGAAACGTCCATCCGCAATCTGATCCAAGCCGTGATCAGCCAAGACAACAGTGCAGCCATCTCTGTGGATGCGAAAAAGCGGCCCAAGTTCCGTTTTGGAAGTGGAGCATGGGGCCAAGCCTTGTACCTGATTCGAATCCAGTCCAGCATCACCAACAAGTTTTTTGAAGCTTTTGTTCTACCTGACCCTGAAACTCCTTTGAAACTTGGATTCGAACATGTACCAGTCTTGGTGGGGATGGATTTCATACGTCAAAACGGTTTGATCATCGACTTCACTGATGGGTATGTAGTATGTGCTCAACATGCAAACGCGAAACCTTTCTACATGCCTGTGAATGCCAAGGGTCATTTCATGGTCGATTTGGTCAACTATTTGTGTGAAGGAAAAACACTTCATGATGGTCATCCCAGTTTACATGTCACAGTTCCACAAGGTGAAGGTTTTGAAGGTTTTCTTGCGAGTGATGTCAACATGTTCACCTTTGAAGCCATTGAAGATGTCAACAACATGTCAACCTTGGAGTTTGAATGCGGTACTGTAGTCAAAACTGATGCCACTTGTCAGCCAACTCACAGAGACCTGTTTGAACAGCTTTGGAATCGTCGTCTTCACCTGCAGCAAGCAGATCGGCTCATGGGCGGTGTAATCCCCACGAGTTTGCGTTCACGACAACAACCTCATGGCGAAGGACGAGAAGAAGACGTTCCAACCAGACCTCTCACGAGAGATGGGCCCGGATCTTCGAGATCCCAGATGCAAGGGCTGGCCGTGTCACAGCGATCACCAGCCAGGGAAGTCACAGGGCAACAAGTGGGCCAAGTGGACCCACTGCACCAAGTGCGGTCTCAGGGTGTCTTACACTCCGAGCATGGGTGCCCCGTCGAACTCCATGCAGGTCTTCAACCCGGAGATGGTTCGACGCGCCCTCAACGACCTGAAGGACAACCTTCCCAAGAATGTGGAGCCCACGGAGGAGCTGGTTCAGCTGTTCATCGACAAGGAGACTGCGGAGATCCGCATCGAGCACATCATGGAGGAAGCCAAACGCGACCTCGCAAAGAACATGGAGAAGGTAGCAAAAGCTGCCGCCGCAGCCAAGATGTCAGCGAAGCCGAAGCCAAAGATCAAGATGAAGGCGAGTCAGCCGACGCAGCCTTCAGGAGGTTATGTCGAGGCGGTTCCAACCTCACCGACCTCAAGCTGGCAGGACATCCCTCAGGAACCTCCTGCGGAGTTCAATCCTATGGATCACCTGACGGAAGCGGAGAAGAAGCACATCATGGATCTGGCCGCAAGCCGTGTCCAAGTGGTGCACGACTCGGAGGAAGAGATGGAGCCAGCATCTGGGAACCCATGAAAGATGCAGACCTCAACATCAAGAAGCTCCCTCTCTACGCTGGCCAGAAGCTGATGGACTTGGTGCACTTCCTCAACGACAAGTTGGTGGCGAATATCTCCGAGCTGATCTACGACAAGAAACCACTGGTGTGGGAGATGTTTTGCTCTCCTCAATCTGGACTTGCACAAGCATGTGAAGCTGAAGGAATACCAACTCAGCGCATCAACTTGGAGCAGGGTTTCGACCTCTACAAACCGGCAAACTACCCGGTGCTGTTCGAGCTCTTCAAGGTCCAACGCCCCAAGAAGCTTTGGATCTCTACGATGTGTACTTTGTTCTGCAGCTGGGTGGATTTGAACTATCAAGGCCGAGAAGAACTACTTCAAAAGAAGAGACGCAGGGAGCGAAAGATGTTTCGCCTCCTCAAGGCATTCATCGTGGCCGTGATCGCCTACGACCCCACTGTGGAGATCTACTGGGAGTGGCCTCGCAACTGCCGTGGCTGGAAAGAATCCATCATCGAGGAGCTCTTCAACGAGATTGGACAGACCTGGGACTGCCGCATCGATGGTTGTCGCTATGGACTGAAGACGGCATCAGGCAATCTGGTGCTGAAGCCATGGATGATCAGAACAAGCAGCTTGTACTTCTACAGTGAGTTCCGCAACAAGACTTGTGTGGGCAATCACACTCACGAGTGGTTGCATGGTGTGGAGACTAACAAGTCAGCCTTCTACCCTCCTGCACTTTGCCGAGCCATTGCAAGGAACTTTCGTTCTCAGTTGCTCCCCTATCGCTGGTCAAAGCTTTTGTGGATGTCTGCAGCTGACGATGGAGCAACATTCGAAGGTTTTGTGGCCGAGCACTACGATGCCCCTGGCGAGCTATGTGCTGGAGAAGAACAACCCTCTGGAGAAGACCAACAGCCCGATGGTGAAGATCAACCTCCTTCTGAAGATGCTCTACGCAAATGGGAGGTACAACTCAACCAATTCCACCGTGCGGCTGGTCACCCGTCGACACGAAATCTGGTGCGCATGCTGGTGGATGCTCAAGTGGAACCTTGGAAGATTCAACAAGCCCGCAAATTTCGATGCTCAACCTGTGAGGAGATGGTCAAGGGTGGTGTTTCTTCGAAACAGATCCCTCCTGCAGCGATGCGACCATTGCCGGTGGCCTGGGAACAAGTGGGTATCGACTTGGCAGAATGGACGGTGCCCAACCAGAACACCAAGGTCAAGTTCGTCATGATGATCGACCTGGCTACGCGCTATCGCATCACTGAGACCCTCTTCGTGTATGCTCATGGCGAGAACAAGGTCGAGACTACAGACATGATGATCAAAGTCATCACGACTCGATGGTTGATGAGCATGCCTCGACCCAAATGTCTAGTGCCGGACAATGCCAACACCCTGGTGAGCTACAAGATTACAGAGTTCATGGCGGATCTGGGAATTGAGATTGCAACACCTCCTGACGGAGAAAGCTGGGCCCATGGCATCTCTGAACGAGCTGTGGGACAGATCAAGGAGACTGCCTCCCTGATACAACAATCTCTTCCGGACCAAGACCCAGTTCTTACGCTGGCTATGGCAACCAGTGCCATGAACAACACTGAGTTTGTCAAGGGCTACACAAGCATTCAATGGGCTTTTGGCAAACAAGCTGAACTTGATGACGGTGAACTTCGTCAACAGCTGAGTCTGCCAATCGACAGACAACAACATGAGTTTCTTCGACTTCTGAATCAACGACAACTGGCTGAAGAGTGTGCGAGAAAGGCGAAGGCAAGAACTGTGATGTCCAAGCTGAAGAATTCAGCCGTGAGGCAACCTTTGAGAACTTTCAAGATGGGACAGCCTGTCTACATCTGGAGAAAGTTTCTGCCCCACTCTGTCTATGCAGGAAAGAAGGGTGGACACAAACATGTGGGACGACCGCGTTGGGTCGGACCAGGCCGCGTAGTGTTTCATGAACTTGTACCTGGTCAAGAAGAAGAAGACAGGAAGCATGTGGTCTGGGTGATACTTGGAACTCGGATCTACAAGACCTCAGTTCACAGCGTGAGACCTCTTTCTGCCCGAGAACAACATCTCTTCGAGATCAAGGGTGACGAGTCTCATCGTTGGAAGCAGCTGAGCGATGTGCTTCCAAAACGCGAGTTCATTGACATCACCGTGGAGGAGCCTGCTGAGGACGAGGTGGAACAACCTTTTCTTCCTGATGAACCTGGCTCCGCGACCATTGTCAAACCTCAAGTACGCTTTCCTGGCAAATTTCCAATTATGGACAGTGGACATCCAGATTATCTTGCACCTCCGAAGCCTGGTAGACCTGTCTCTACCGTTGACGAGACCTTTGACCCTGTGAATGTGTACGAGCCGGACTCCAAAGATCTTCTGGAGCCCGACAACAAGCGCTTCAAACATGATGCTGAAGAAGAACCTGGAGATGAATATGAACCAACAACACCTGCGAAGTCACCTCCACCGTCACCAAGAAGAACCTCAGTGTCTTCAACAACACCTCTTCTTGAACCTCGTGAGCCTGCCGAGAAGCGAGCTGAACCTGATGAGGGAACATCTGATGAACCAGAGTCCAAACGACTCAAAGCTGATGAGGACGAGGAAAGCGAGAAGGAGTTCAAATTTCTGGAAGCTCTTCGTTCTGTGGACGAAGGATATGTCTTCAACTTTGAGCTGGACTTGGAGTCGAACCGCAAGAAGAAAGACTTCATGCGCAATCCCGTGATGTTCCTGGCGAAGAAGATGGCTGGAGCAGAAGTGAACTACAAACGCTTGTCTCCTGAGGAGAAACAGCTCTTCGAGAATGCCAAGCAGTCTGAAGTGAGCAGTTTCCTTCGAACTGAAGCAGTACGTCGTTGTCTTTCTTACGAGGAGCAACAACGAGCTGAGAACTCTGGAAGGGTGCTCAAATCGAGATGGGTATTAGTGTGGAAAGGGGTACCAGAAGAGAGTCGTGCCGAAGCAGCTGATGACCGCAAGAACAACCCCAACACCACTCATGATGCCTCCTTGACCCGCAAGGCCAAGGCTCGAATAGTTCTCTTGGGATTTCAACACCCGGACTTGGAGCTGTCGACCTTCAACACAACGGCACCTGTGCAGAGCCAACTCATGAGACACTTGAGTCTCATCACGGTTGCACAACGTGGCTGGACTCTGGAGGGCCTTGACATGAAAACGGCCTTTCTGCAAACGGGTGGTGACAGCGTTGAAGCTCAAGAGCTTTGGACACCTGGAGTACCAGAACTTCGTGCTGCACTTGGAGCAAGTGATGGAGAACTTCTTCGTCTACTTCGCAACGTATATGGCAGTGCTACCGCTCCACGTGGCCTATGGACTGATGTGGATCAAACTCTTCAACGTCTTGGCGGACATCGACTCATTGGAGACGCAGCTTTCTGGTGTTGGGTGGAAGAAAATCCTAACCCAAAGAATCCTGCTGACCGCTACAACCTGATCGGATTTGTTGGTGGTCATGTCGACGATTTCAACAGAGCTGGCGATACAACCAATGAGAAGTGGCTTTCTGTGAGACAAGCCATTGATAAGGCTTATGCCTGGGGAACACGCAAGGAGGAGAACTTCCGACACTCTGGAGTAGATCTTGAGGTAAAGAATGACCGCAACGAGCGCTACGTGCAGCTGAGTCAGGACTTCTACCTGGAGAACCTCCCCGACCTTGCGATTCCTGAAGATCGTCTACGTGGAGATCCAAAATCTTTGCTCTCTCCTGGAGAGATGGCAGCTTGTCGTGCAAGCCTTGGAGCACTTCAATGGGCATGCACACAGACACAGATTCAAGCCTGTGCCCGTGTCAACCTTTTGCTGACCGAGCTCACAGTTGACAAGAGTGTCATGGTGGCCAAGGAGATCGCTGACCTGATCAAGGACGTGAAGAAGGATCCAATGAATCTTCGTCTTTTCAAACTTCCTCATGTACAACACTGGCAAGATTGGACTGTTGTGACGATGGCCGACCAGGCACACAACAACCGCCCACAAGGTGGATCAACTGGTGGTCTACTGACCTGTCTTGGTGGACCTGAACAACTTGCTGGAGAAGCTGGTCGCCTCAATCCAGTTTCTTGGAGGACCTGGCGTTTACGCCGGAAGGCCATTTCCACAAATGATGGCGAGATGCAAGCAACCTTGGAGGGCGAAGACTCCAACTTCCGTGTTCGTTGGATGTGGTGCCAACTCAATGGATGCTGCGCTATCAAAGATGGCAACCTTTTGGAGAAGGCCAACGACCTTGTCAAGTATGTGAAGGGCTTGGTGGCAACTGACAGCAAGGGTGTCTTCGATGCAGTGAACAAGAATGAAGGACCGCTTCTTGGTCTTTCAAATGCTCGAAGCGCACTTCAGGGCTATCAACTGAAGGAACAGTTGAGCGAGGCTGACACCAAGCTGATATGGATCTCAGGCGATTGGAACCTTTCTGATGCTCTCACAAAGAAGGCCAAAGCAGCAAGACTTGGACTGATGCAATTTGCAAAACAGTTCATCTGGAAGCTGAAGTATGACCCACACTTCATCCAGAGCGAGAAGAAGGCAAAGAAGGATGGTCGTGCTGCTGTACAGCAAATGAAAGAGCTTCAAGCTCTTGTCCCAATAGCACACATGATCCAAGAAGAATTTTGACTGGTGCGACAATCTGAAACCAGTTGGATCATGTGTCACCTTTTTGCAATTCACTGACTGCTGCCCGCAGGCCTTGAGCCGGGCTCGAAGCTAAGGAAAACAGAGCAGCTGTGTGCTGCTAGCCCCTCGCTAGCTACTTGGTGTAGCTCCGTGTGTTTCTGAGCCCATACGTATCCCTGTGCACCCCGTAGCAGGTACCCAATTTTGAGCTATGCCCATGTTGAAACTGGAAATGTCCAATGAAAGATGGGAAACATTGAGTTTATGATGGAATAAAACTTGGAAATATGGACATGATACTGGAAATATGGAAACATGGAATGGGAAATCTTACAGCACACAGTAGTAATTCGAAAACATATGAAAATCACCAATGAAGTTTTATGATGGGAAATATGATGGGACATTTCCAACTGGGAAATGTGCTTCTATTTTCCATATTTATTCTGAAAACCTATATTTTTTTGGGGGGTAGGGGGGTTAGTATTAGTGGGAAAGGATTATTCTAAAGTCCTGTGACAAAAATGAGAAAGATGGAAAGAGTTCCAGGAATATTCAAAAGACAGTGGGACATTTCAATAACCATGGGAATTTTGAATGGAGTGGTTATCTCTACTCTAAACATCTCAAAACCAAGAATCGGAAACTATCTCGTTTACAGCCACGAACAAAAACCCTTCGCAGTTTATGTAACATGTTTTTTTTCAACACCCTCCTTTCAGCAGAACTGCATGGTATACGCTCAAATTCCAAGGGTTTCTACGTCCCAACTCCTGCCACACCTGTCCAAAGAGGAAGGGGTCGTCGATGAAACTACGGAAGAAATCCTCAGAGGTAGCCGGGTGGGGCATGGTGGCAATGTGGAATAATGGGAGTACAATGGGTGCACATAAGTGTGTAAACATATTGTATTCATCCATAATGTATATATATAATATAATATACATATAATATTATATATATAATATAATATAATATAATATAATATAATATAATATTATATAATATAATATAATATATATATATATATATCAATGGGCAATGCAATCATTAAAGGAACAATGTAATTTATATGGTTAAATATAGATGAATATATATGTATAGCATATTATACATATATATATATATCTTAAACAAAACCAAAAGGATGCATTCGAGATATTTGGCAACATACCAACGGGCAAGATTGTTGGCTGTGTATAGACATTATCCAACAATGATGCTACCCGAACCTTCATCAGCCCTTTCATTCATGTGGAAAGCCTCACTGCCACAACTCCCATGACTGGGGATGGTTGAAATCTCACTTCTTCATGGTGAACTTGGGGATGGTGACTATTATTGCGTTTACCCCACATTCTTCCAGTCATCCATGAATTATCCAATGCTTATCTAACGATACTTCATTAACATCTAATGCTTAACATCCATTTGGAAATTTATCGCGTATCATATCGTATCATCCTTATTCAACATCCATTCATAGTGCATTTTGCTAGAAACCTCCATCCAATTAGTTAATTAGTTCATAGATGACCACCATCCGAGGCCGCCGACCCCCACCCGCCAGCACCGGCCAGGCATCAATGGTCTGCACGGTGGAGAAACGGCGCCCAGCATCCAGAAAGTCCACCACCGCGGCATCGTCCCCAGCGCCGAGCATCACCTCCGCCTAAAAAAAGCTGAGCTGCCGTTGAAAATGGGGCCGGCTGAAGAATCACCATTTAAGAATAGGGAATATATATCTATACACACATATAATATATATATATTATAAATATTATTATACTAATAATAGTAATATAAGTAATAATGGTAATATAAGTAATAATGGTAATAATAATAATAGTAACACATAACCATGTATAATAATACTTATAATAAACAACAATTAACATTATTACTGTTATTGTTATTTCTGATTTCTATGACTATTATATATATAATATACAGTATACAGTATACACGTATATATATATATATATTAAAAATATAGACAATTATATGATCTTTGGGTGTCCAAAAATGGAGGATACCCCAACTTATGGCAAGTTGAATAGCTAAAATGATAATCAGCCATCACCCTCCCTATCTTCAGACAAACGCATGTCTGGTTCCAACAGGATCTTTAGCTTTTGCAATTCCTTGTTGCGTTCATGATAGATTGTGGAGATTTCGGGGGGTCTAAGGAATCTGGTGTAATGTGGTAAACATTTTTTTTATCGCATCGTCCCCAAAATCACCCGTCTTAGGCATGGCAATTATAAGCAATTATCATCCCAAAATGGCAGGTTTATGGCAGTTTACCACATCATCATCCTTGGTGGGTTGTGGGATGACCCGGGAAACGGCTAAACTTTGATGCAACATATGAGTCCCTGATTTGATGGACAAATCATGCGATTGAATGTTCCTCTATTAAAGTCTAACTCAGAGTGAATTTGCAGAGGTGCCATCTGCCAAACCATGTATGTAATCATATGTATACCATGTACATGCCTGGTTGTAAAAATCCACTATCATAACCAGGTGAAGCCCGTTCTCAACAGCTCTTCCCATCGCCTTCTTGTTCAAAGGCTGCCTGGGAATGAAGGACTCCACCCGACGCATCGCCTGCAACGAATGGGGAGTTTCTTCGTCACCCAAATAGTGGGATGAATATGGATTCATAGGGATTAATAGGAATTGAAAGGGATTAATAGGGATTATATAGTAGGGATTAATTATCATTCCATCCCATCCCAACCCCTTGGTATTATCATCCAAATATGTGTAAATCCCCTATTTAATTCCTAAAGCATAGTTTCTGGGCGGGTGGAATATTAGGGGGATGGGATTACATACCTACATACCAAACAGAATAACTGGTTGATATGGTGGACCCCCCTATGTCCCCATCACTAGTGAATAAATCAAGTGTGTTCAATTGCGATCACCTATATAACCCATATAATATATATATATATAAAACCCATATAACATCATATAATACCATATAATCAACCCATATAGCATTTATTATGCCCTCTGGTAATTCAACAGTGTGCGACGGAAACCATGTCCCATGTCCTTCGATATTCTTTCAACATGGTGGATTTTCCATGGCAAACTGCAACAACTGACCCAAAGGGTAAATAGTTTTGTGAACTAACTTAAAACTGATTATAGAACTAATCATATACCATCAGATAAAATCATATAAACATCCCACAGAACCTATATATAGACCTATATAGATCTATATGCAGTATTATATATACATAATATATATATATATAGAGAGAGAGATATCTATAATCCTATCACCCATCATACAACCCAGCATATACCATCTGGTTATTTAACATAGCCATGGAAAATCACCATGCTATATTTAACATAAACCATCTATAAATGGGACATGGCTTCCATGGCTATGTTACATAACCAGAGGGTCCCCTGCCCCGCCTGCGCCAACGTGCTGGCACCCACCTTGGCCCCGCAGCCGCCGCAGCGCATGGCCCTCTGCCGCAGCAGCGCTGTGGCGCGCTGCCCCGCGGCCAGCGCCACCGCACTGCCGGGCGCGGCAGCGCTGCCGGCGACCGTGGGCATCTCGGGAAGACCTGCAAAACGTGGAGAAAACGAGGGAAATTGCCATGAAAACTTAGGGATTATGGGATTTACCGTGAAACATGAAGGGATTTACCCTGAAAATTGGGGTTGATATGTTTTTCAATTCTTGTCAAATGCTTGAGTTTGAGACACTTTGAGTTCCCTGTCTTCCCCACCTTCGGAGTAGTTCCACATCCAGCGTCGATCGATCCAGTCCTTCAGCTCCCAGAGCCACTGGCCATGCATCGCCAGGCTTCCTTTGGAGGCGATGCAACTGCCATCGCCCAGGTTCAACAGACCCAGGAACGACACCTGCCACACGACCATGAGTAGTGGTGAGATGAGTTCAAGATGTTTCAAGTTTCAACATATGTTTCAAGATGTTACAAAATATGATACAGTCATTCAAGATGTTTAAAGATGTTTCAGTTGGAAAAGCTTGCCAGAAGAATCCAGTATTCACCAACACACTTGGCACTACTTCAGGCTAATCGGCTATCACATCACGTTTCCGCTGATCAGATTCCTGTTGGGGAAAAATCAGAACTCCGACCCTGAAATGAATCTTTAAACCGGCAAATTCAGGTTTGTGGTTTTCCAACCTTGTGAAGCAAAAACTTCTGTCGATATTTCAAAACACTTTGTCTACAGTCAAACATTCTGACTATTGCTGATGTCTCATTCCCAGTATGACCATTGATTTTGGGGAGTAAACCCAAACCTAACTTAGTAACAGTGGCCTCTTTGAGAGGGTTGGATACTATGTGATTATCCGATATTATCCTTATGTATTCGATATTAGTCTCCTGTATTAGTTGATTCTGTTACAAACTCAAAAAATGCGGGTTTCCTGAGTCATAGGGCTACCCCCCTAAATCATCATCCATTTAAAGATGGATTTTCCCTTTACCCTCTGGTAATTTAACAGTTTGCTATTGAAAATGGCCATAGAAATAGTGGATTTACCCATTGAAAATGGTGAATTTCCATAGCTATGTAAACGTTTACCAGAGGGTATAAACGATCCATAACTTGGGGTAGCCATGGAAACCCCCACATCCCAAGGTACGACCATTCCGATCACATCCCATCACTGTGACTCGCCTGAGGCCAATAGGTCACCAGCTTTTCCCCGCGCAATGTGGCCCGCAGGTTCAGCCACAGGGTCATCCCGGCCATCACCTGGGATTCTGGTGAAAACCGCCAAAAAAAAATCCAGTCATACATCAAATCCTATATTTTTTTTATCTATAATACGAAACTCATTAAGAAAAAACAACTATATAATAATAAAAAGAAAATAAATGACCTGACCTGACCATCTTAATTTGGACTCCAATGTGGACAAACTGGATTCAATCGTTGGGCATCCATTCATAGTGGATTCACAACCACCATTGTACCGGCCATTGCGAAGCAGCTACGTGTATCCTGCACAGGAGCATCCTCATGTCATTCCAGTTCCTCTTGATGAGTAGATTCCCATGTCTTTTTGTTTCTGTTATCAGATTCCCATTGATTCCCTGTATAAATCCCCATCATTGTTATTGCAATTTGTCAACTGATCATTAAGATCTCCAATAAACCACTATATAATACATTCATTTCAATTGTATTCCCAATCCCCATTATCGTTCCCATATGTTCCCAGAATATAAAATATATAAATCCCAAATTTCTTTGGGCCACAATCCCACAAAAGACGGTCAATCTCAAGCTCAGTGACAGCAAAGACTCCAGCCTTTGGATGCTGGGGCACCCCCATTTGGGGATTTGGGGAGCAATTGACTTTTTTGCCCCACAAAAAAGAGGATCGGTCCGATGGGTTCCAAAAAGAAAAGCCAAAACCAGATGATGTCAATGGTGGCAGTTGCTGTGGCAGTTGCTGTTCTTGGAATCGGGCTTCATTGAGACAAATTTGGGGATCATTCCAGTCGTGGATCGCCTACCAAACAGTGATCCAATTTGCTGCGCCTTGGGTCTGGGATGCCCATCGATTGATGCGATATCACCCCCAGCGAAGATGGGAGCATCATGCGTCAGCTTGTGGCAACCTGGGCAACGAGAGGCTCGTTGAAAGGCTCCTGCTTGAATCAATTTCGCTGGGACGAAATTGTCACACAACCCAAACAATACCCAAAGAACGTCACACTTGACAGGTTTCAAGAAGTGTCTCCAATAAGGAAACCATAGGAAACCACTGCATCACTGGTGGAGATGGGTTGAGACTTCAGGAACCAGGGAGCCATGATTCACCATACATCACCATACCCTACGCCATGGGGGCGGAATCTTGGCCAAAGCCGTTGTGGTCGGCCTATCGAAGTCAGCAACCATCCGGGCAACTTACAGTGTAGTTGTTGAACATTTCCCATATGGGGTTTTCCATAAATGGGGGTACCCCAAGTTATGGATGGTTTTTGTTATGAAAAATCCTGCGAAACTGGATGATTTAAGGGTACCCCCCCATTTTAGGAGGTGTCCATATCTGATATGAACATCCTTCAAAATGCCTCAATTTCGATGAGCCGCGCATGTGTTGATCCACCAGTAGGAAGCCATGCTCGTCGGTGCGCAAACCGCTGCTGCTCACCCAACTTTGTGGTGAGCCTTCAGTGCACCAAATACATTCGTCATAGCCTTGGTGAAGCGCTCGTATCCGCCGCGGTTCCCACGGGTTGATTGAAGGGTTATATCATGTAGTTATATCTATATAGTAAATGGATTATAATGGCATTATAATGGGTTATAGAATCGTTATATCTATAGTTACAGTAATGGGGCTTCTAATGGGTATTATAACAGCTTTTTTGACCTGGGCCCTGCAAAATCATCCTACTTGGATCAACGGTACTGGTGAGTAACCGTACCATCTGGTTATGACTAACATAGCCATGGAAAACCCCCAAAATAAATGGAGGTTTCTAGCTGGGAAAATTATCTATAAATGGGCCATCTATACCATGGCGAACTGTTAAATAACCAGAGGGTAATTATAGTACTGCAACCCATTTTTTCACGTGAGCCCACTTAATATTATTATTAGGGACTTACGATCACTCAGCTTATTGACCGCTTACAATGTGGTAATGTGGGGCAATCCTTCAGGCACCGTCCATTTTTCGAACAGCGCCGGCCTAGCAACTCAAGGTGCGACCGTCCGTGCAGTGCAACTGTCCTGCATCGGCGTGAGAGACCTCATAGCCACTGTAGAGCTCAATACCTGTGAGGAGGGCAACTGTATTCCATCTGGGAATAACACAAACATCATCAAACGTAAGGATATATGAAACTTCAAATATCCGCAAATATCCGTAAATTGAAAATTGCGAATTAAATATTATACCATCAGCAATCGGATGAGCAAGTGGTTGTTGTTCGAGCAATAGCAGAAGATTTCAGAGATATCCACATGTTTTCAACGAAAAATGATACTGTAAGGACATAAACAATAATTGACTATCAAACAATATACCAGAATTCCACCCAACAATTTCAGGATATAAAGCGGTAAAAAAGATGCAAACAACATTTAAAACAGTTATCGAGAAGAATGGGATGATAGCGAATGAAAAGAAGGCTATACCACAAGGCAGCGTAGCGGCTTAGTTGTATTCAAGCCTAGCCACAGGTAGAGATAAGGGCTAGTAACGGGTAGTAATTGGCTTTCTGATAGGTTCAGTCTTTCTCCCCAACACTTGGGCCAATTCAACATCCTCAAACTGACGGGTTCTCTGGCTGATCGACTGTGAGCTCAAATGGCGAGTTTCATCGGTTTTTTTTGAGGATTCAGATTGATTAACCAATGGATTTAGGGATGAACCTAGCCATTGGTTAATCAATCTGAATCCTCAAAAAAAACATAACAAACCAGAAAACCAGAAAATCCCTAAATCCATTGGTTAATCCATTTAGGTTATTTTCAAACAAACCATAACAAACACAGGGCCTTTGTCTCGCATGGCTTTGGCCGCCAACGCCCGAGCGCCCAAGGTGTGCTGCGGCAGCAAAGCGCTGCGGGTCACCAGACCAACCTTCACCTGGGCCATATCGAAAAGGGGTAAAGATGGGTAAAGGAATTAGAACTCACTTGGGGTCATCATGCTTGACAATGCTTAATAATGGTTAATAATGCTTAATAATTGTGAATTGGCGGTTTCCACAGTCATGGGGGTACCCCAAATCATGAAAGTCATGAATGACCATGACTTAGTCTTGAAACATGGTGACTTGGGGATTCCCCTTTTTAAGACACCCCCCACTTCACTCAGTCACCAACCAGTATTCCAACTTCATACATTATACTACCCGACCACAATTGATGACATAGATTTCAGATCCAAGCGTTCTTGTGGACCTCAATTGGGGAAGAAATTGACCTAGAAGCAACTATTAACCAGATCAACTTCCAACTGGTAACTAGTACCAAGTACCGATTTATATACCAACAATTGGTTTGAGTGCCCATGGTTTTCATTTCGGCAAGGACCCGATTTCCTGATTACCCCTTAACTCGTCGCCATTAACCAAGAGTAACAGTTGTCCGCCGCTATGGTTTTGTTTGGTCAGTTCACCAGATCAATATCCTCCCTATTCAAAAAGCTGGGATAGGCAGGACACAGTTGCACCACCGAGCTTTTGCAGCTCCTGGCGCCAACCAGCAGCATTGGAAATGTTTGATGCAAAAAAAAAAGAACTGCCCATATCTGCGTGTGTGTGTGTGAAAAAGGGATAGTCCTACTAGCTTCTCTTGAACATATCTACAGTAATCATATCTAATCATTTCAAATCATATCTATATAATCATAGCTAATCATGCCTAATCATATCTAATGATATACATATATATACATATCATTATATCTAATCAGTACAAAGCATGTCTAATCATACTTGATCATGCCTAATCATATCTAATTAAATTTCATCATATCTATATAATCACTTCAAATCATATCTATTCTATTCATATCAAATTAAATCATATCTATATAATATGATCTAATCATATCCCATCATAACTTTACATGTCAAATCATATCTAGCCACGTATCATCATATCAATATCTCATCATAATTCATCATGTTTCATCATGCGTCACAATATGTCATCATGGTTCGTCATACTTCATCATGTTTCACCGTGGTTCATCATAGTCCACAATGTTTCATCATGTGCCATCATATCTCATCATGTTCTGGTTGGTGGTATATCTACCCCTCTGAAAAATATGAGTTCGTCAGTTGGGATAATAACATTCCCAATATGTGAAAAAATAAATGTTCCAAACCATCAACCAGTGTTTCGTCATATCTCATCATGTTTCATCACAAGAGGATATTGCTATTGGAGATTTCCCCCATTGACAGTTTGGATCTGCTGAGGGCCCTGGTGATCCTTCATCTGATGTTGATCAATCAAGGTCATGGTCAATCTGTCACCGTAAATGAAATCCTAAGATAATGATCCTTTGATTGTTCGAATATAATGGATGTTTACTGCATTTTCTTTCATTGCTCCTGTTTGCATTCACGTGTATTGAAAAAATGAATCCTACTAGTATGGATTCTGCCTTCGCGGTACGGACCAGAATCTGAATTTCTACGTGGCAAGCCTTTTCTATTTTAGCTGTCTTTGCCATGTCGGTGTCTAAACAAGTTTTGCAGTTTTTTGAGATATGATTCATTGATAGCTTCCCAGTATTCACAAACATTTACACAAACTACCGACTGGTCGGTCAATAAACACATTGGTTCTACCAGAATATTCGACCCTTCATTCTGAAAGAAACTTCACGGACAGATCAACCGCTGGGTAAAGCCAAACTTTCCACCGGCACAGAAACGGTAGCAAAAATAAAACAATAACAAACCAATGACCCGCACTGTTCCATATTCCTGCTGAATTCCCATGTTGGGTTCATTTTAATCCAACAAACATGAGTCAAAGTATCCCTTTTTGATACATGTTGATCATTTACAAACCGGGCCACTCTCTGGGTATCCCTTCCTTGGTGAGCCGTGCATGCATGGTCATCGCCAGTTCAAATCCTCCTGCGCCACCACCCACCACCAGGACCCGACGTTCGCCTTTCCACTCAGGCAAACCTCTGTGACAAGCTGGGGATGGTAGATGGTACTCTGTCACAAATATCAGTGACATGATATCACTGTTGATCAATGTTGATAAATGTTGATAATATGGGGAATGTCAAAATCTCTTAGGTTAGTTATGATCAATATAATTTCATAGATAAATGTTGATTACATGGCAATGTTTGGTTATAATATTGATCATAACATTCATTTATGTTAATAATGGATGTAATCAATAACATTATTATATGGTTAATATCATCCATTAATCTGTTGATTATATCATAACTAACCTAAAAACAGATTCACCTTCTATCGACCGTTCAGTTGATGATGACCCGTTCACACCACTGAGGACCCCCAAACCATAAACAAATGATAAAAAAATTGAAACCTGATGTACATAACTTAAAGACATATGTCAAAAACTTACTATGTTACTATACGTATATAATATAATATATAATATGTTGCCAAATATGTTAGGGGGATGAAGATCCATTTACAAACCTCACCCGATCCCGCTATTAAAAACCATGGTGGATGTACAGGGATAAAAACACATGAGCAGTGTTTGTTTTTTTTTACCCGTGTCGGTTGATGATTAGTTCGGGGAGAATACGCAATATATTGGGGATTGTTTTTTTTAGAACGGGATTCCCCTATTGGATTATTTATATAATAATCCCCAATATTTGAACCAATATGAACCAACTGTTATATATATTTAATAATACCCAAGAACCGGGAATCCCGTTCTGAACTAACAACAAGCAGGGCACGTTCCAACAGCGCATCCCATCGCGCGCCAAAGCCATCGATGGGTTTCACCGGCGTCACGTTGCCACTTGCGCTTTGGGCATCGCCCTGCCTGAGGGTTCAAGACTTGATGATGATGCACTGAGAAAGCGAAAACGCGGGGTCCAACTGGTGATTTATATGGAAATGGTTAATGGTCATATGGTGATTTTAATCTATTATGTTTCAATCTATTATTGGGTGATCTCTATTATATGGTGATACTAATCTGGTTGGTGGTTGAGCCCTACCCCTCTGAAAAATGATGGAGTAAGTCAGTTGGGATGATTCTTCCCAATATATGGAAAAATAAAAAATGTTCCAAACCACCAACCAGTATATGCTGATATATCACAAGAAGAATAGAATGCAAATGATTGGAAATGATGGATATTTTCCGGGACATTCGGAGTATGTCATAAACTGTCAATGAACAGGATGTTGCGATATCTTTCGCCAGTCAAGCCGCTCTGGCACCGTTTTTTGATGGGTATATCACCTGCATAACCTCGGTATCAACTGGTGAACTCGTGGTTTGGGATGCTGGTATTGCTCCTTTGGAGAGCAGGGTTCCTGGCATTCTAAACCGGTGCAATCATTGAGGAGTGGCAAAAATTGAAATCAGCCGTACCCAGAATTACGTGATTTCCCATCTAGACCTAAGGCAATTCACCATTGAAAAAAAACGTGATCTGCGACTTCCAGGATATACGACCGTCCGGCAATCTGACATGGCGCTGTTGGAATCGGCCGTTTCTATCCATTCATAGATGATGGTCACATGAAAGGTGGGAACTTCCGCTTGCCAAGCTGGATTGCTAAAGGGTGATAATTCATACACCCCTCTTATTTACCCACTGTTCATGCTGTCATTTCCCATTTTTCCTGGTGCAAATCCCAATTCACAAATTCAACACCAAAATTGCCTATCTTCCGTATTTTGCATACTTTTCCCATGTGTTATTTGATCCCCACTTCCCAATTCTCTCAATAAAAATGGATCAGTTGAAGATTGTCCCGGCCGAGATTGTCCTTGTTGTTGAATGGGGGGTGACCTGTCTATTTCCATCAACCAACCATTTAGAATCTTTGGAAATCTCTGAATATCAAATAATTAGCATGTGTTTTAGAATATCTCTATGTAATTGGTTGATATGGGAATGTATAAGTAGTATACAATGTTAAACCCGTTATATCCATGTTTTCCCATTATCTATCATTTTCGGACAATGAAAACAACACCTACGGGTCACAAAGAGCGATATGTATATATATATATATATATGTCCTAAACATTTATGACCAGTTTTTTCTCATTTGACCACCATGATATATCATTCAAAACAACATTTGGGGGTTTCCTAAGAATAGGTGATCCCCAAAACCATGGGTTTCAAGTTTCAATACCCCGAGCCAGGCGGCACTTTGGGCGCCGAGCCGATGTTGATGGACAGCACATCGTAGCGGATGGGCGGCCGGTCCCCGGAAAGAAGGACCTGCGCCGCATGCGAAATCCATAGGAAACCACGCTGAAAACCAGTCATATAGCTATGAGAGCTATGTTTGTTGGTTACCATTATGATAAACTCGAGTTGTTTGCATATCATACATTGTTATTATAGTTATAAACCAACTTAGTTATTATAGTTATAAATTAGCTAACGAACTGGAGCCCCTTCCTGTCTGTGAATGACAAGATCGGCAAACAACATAGACATTCATATCTAGTTTTTTTATGGTTTCAATAGAGCCTGGGCGGAGGATAACCCAACCTGAAATATCTCTCGATCACCATTTTGGACCATTTTTGACCAGCCAGATTCGTGCAGAAAGTGGTGTGCATCTCATGTATAACATGGTCCATTCTATAACTGGGTGAAAAAGGAAAGGTTACAGGATGTTACAGGTTACAGTATCTAGTTCCCATATATAGGTACATGTCTATATCCGTATGTGTATAGATGGTATATATATATATGTATAATGTGTATATATATATAGATACACATTATTATGGGTAATCATAGGTCAAAATTGTGTATCCCAAGTACAAAAAAATGGTAGTATTAAACATACACGTTTCAATCTGTGGGGCTTATTTTTTTATATATGTTGACATATGTTGTCTGATTCTAATCTAGTTTTTGTATTAACCATCGAGTTTTGGCGTTTTGTCCAAGGTCATCCTTTTGATTTTGTTTAATGGAACATGCATCATTTATATGTGAATGTTCCGTATACACTATATACATATATATATACATATATAAATATACATATATATATATGTATATATATATATGTATATATATATATATATATGTATACATATATATATATATTTATCTCTATATATATATTATGGACTATCACCTGGCGCCTGTTTCTGCTCCACGTCGATGGCTTCCACAGTTGCGTGGATGAGGCGCACGCGTGCGAAACGCGCCAAGATATTGAGATCTAAGTGGCACTCACGGCGGGTATACCTTAGAGGCGGCAAGAAAAAAATCCATCCTAAAATGCTATGGATTTTCAGGATATATACATATATACATATTTATAATTATATAATTATATATGATAGTACTGAGGTATGATTAATACTACTATAAATGTTACTATGGGACATTTTAGATGTATATCATAGCTTTGAATGCATGTATATATATATATATATATAATACGTATGTATATATCTATATATAACTATATATACATATATACATATTGCTAATAAACTTATAATATATAGTATAAACTACAACAATCAAATATGTATATATAGTAATATACTGTAATTCTGAAATACTCTGGGATTATATGGACACTATTGGATAATAGATTTTAATTTTTAATTGTATATTAGTTTTATATGTCTATAGTAATCTAATATAATGATGATACATTATAACTACTATGGGATTGGAGATATAGTCTAATGATGGTAAACTATCTATGGAATAATCGATGATAACCACCTAGATCGGACTAGTATATATTACAGTGGAATCATATGGTAATCTATAACAGCAATTGTTTGCTAGCTGCTAATTTGATATGTATCTAGGATATGATGATCATATATATACATATATAATCTATAAAAACACTCTGAGAAAAGTATTTCTTGCTGATGAATCCATTGTCTAGCCTGTACCTGTACGGGATAATGATTATATAATCACTATGGGATAGTTGATCCAACGATTCAGCAAGGGACAAAAGAGAATCGATTCTTGACTAAAAATGGGAATTCGATCAAATCCCAGCGAATCAATGGGGATTTTACATCATTCAGCCAGAACAATATATATATACTTATATATACATGCACATGTATATATATATACATACATACATGGAACAAATTCAAACTGATGGCAAAACAAATCAATGATGTCTCGAGTGTTCTCCGAAGATATCCCAAGAGCGCTTTGTGGGAATGCCATACTATGACAACATGCCGCAGAAGGAAACAACCTGCGGCATGAACACCAACAGGTAGAAAGGTATGCAATGTGTTTCCATGTTTTCCAGCTACTTCAATGTGGTTCTTTCCTTGCCTGGCTTCCTGGAACCGTGCCGAAACAATGCGGTGAAGCCCGACTTGTAAGGCTTAGAGTCTTGAATTTAAGCCCTGCAACGTTTTTAGAATTTTAGATTTTGGATTGTTTTTTGTCAACCTCACGGGGATCCCCCGAACCAGTTGACAGTCTGATGTTATTTGGTCGGTGTTGTTGGATACACCCCGGTTCTTCAAACTGCCATCTGTTTGCATGTAATGTTAACCTCATATGTACCAACAGTTTCGCTGTTGTACATTCATTTTCTGGAAAATGTCACCATTCTCCCACCGGGATTGAACCACAACTTTCGCATCCACTCTGACGCTCCCTTTCCGAATCCGGGCAACCACGAATCTCCAATTTAAAAGACTTTCTGAATGATCTTTCTATTGCTTTCCTCTATTTTCTATTTTAGACATGAATGTACATGTGTATATATATATATATACGTATAATATACATATCATATTAAAACATGATAAAACATGCTTATACATATGGTCCTACGGTTCCTTGTCATTGCCATGTTCGATTACCAAGTCTTGTCAAGAGACATCCCAGCAATGTGTCCAGGGAGCATGCCACTGTAAGGCGTCTCCACATCCTTAAATTGAGTAGCGTTGGTTGGAGTAAGGACCGATTAGGATCGATTATGACCGGAAAATTATGGGGAGTTCATTGGATTTCTCTGATGTCGGCAAAAATGTGGAATCCATTTGCGAAACTGGTTCAAATCACATTGAGAATGTCATTGACTTAAAGACAGTTAACCAACAGCTGGAAATCAAATCCACCACAGATTTCACCAGCTGATGCGAAAAGGCCATAACCGTCACCATGACGGAGTGTAGATTCATAATTCCTCGTAAGCAGTATATACCAAAAAAAATGTGAAAGTGGAAAAATAAACGGAATATGAGTCCTGGCAACCTCCTCAGTAACAGGCATGATTGATGCATTCTGTGAGCTTATAGCCTCCTTAAACTTTCCTTGATTGGTTTGTCTTTTCCTTGGATTTTCTTTTCCTTTGTTTCTCCCTTGGAAATCAAACAAAACCAAAGGAAAACAAAGGAAACCAGAGGAAAACCATATAATCCACTCAGCCCAAAACCAAAGAAAAGCAAAGGAAACCGAAGGAAACGAAAGCAAATCAAAGGATTCCCTGCTGTGAAGAATGCATGTTCCAGTGATCTAACTAAAGAGCTCTCCAGATATGAGTTTCAAATTCTAAAGAGAAAACCAAGCGCACCAATCCTTCCACCAATGATCACCAATGTAGCAAAATCGGGCAATATCATGCAATATCCATGTATCTGTTCCAGCAGGAATCCGTCTTGCTTTTTTCTGTTTATCCAGAGTGCCATCGAAATGAATGTTTCTCAATCCAACCCTAAAATTCAGGTACCCCACAATATTATGCAATATCTTGAGGTGATATTCCATTGCATAAGCCGCCGAACATATGGATCATGCGCTGGGTACCTCCAGTTGTATCATCACTTATTCGGCACCGAAAAAAAATCCACAGAAACTCAGACATCCCGAGTTTTTCAGGAAACAACCGAGGCTTTGTTTGAAAAAGACCAAGGCTCCCGGGTGACCAGGGTCACCCGAACCCCAGGCATGGGCTCCATGCCCAACATCCGCAGCACATGGACGTGCGAGTGGCCACCACCCACCAAGACCAAATCTTTGATGATCGGCGTCCTGGTACCATTGGCAAAAGAACGGCAGAACCATCCAAAATGATGGGTTTATATAACAGTTTAAGCATGAACATATAGGATATTATGGGAAGTTGACCATAATGACAATCATACGAGATACCCATAAATATCCATGATCCACAATCCGCTAATTCTCACGGGAATACTGAAACCGCATTTTGAAACATCCAGAATCAGGCATCAAAACCAGTGCCTGTTGATGTAATGTGTTTTTGACATGTTAAGACAATAATAAACCAGCCCCCAAAGCACCATTTTTAATCATCTTTATAGGTGGTAAAAACTATTCCCAGTCATGGGTGCTTTATTATTGCTTTACCGGCTTTACCCACGTTAATAGAGAAGTTCTCCCAGAAATCCCCCAAATTCATCGCCAAAGGGGACCGGTGAAGCCCGATGTGGTGAACCCAGTCCTTGCTTGGATGGTTCCAGCTTCAACAGATCACCATCTGGTTATTTAACATAGCCATGGAAAATCACCATGTTTAATAGGCAAACATTCTATAAATGGGCCATGTTCCATGGCTATGTTAAATAACCAGAGGGTAATACTTCTGTGGGTCAGAAACCAACCTACTTTCCCGTAAGCAGTTTAACTGGCGCCAGACATAGAGGAGTCCGTCGGAATCCCTGGAGACTTCCAACATCCCTCAAGGCCCTCAATCACTAATATATGCAGTAATATAACAATATCTATATATATATATATGTATATGTATATCACATGGGATACATATATGTAATTAGATGGGATAATGTAACAATATATATACATATATATATATATATATATGTATGCCATCTAATTATCATTCACTACCATGAAAACTCTAACAATTACTCAGAGTACACAATTTGTTAAAGAATATACCACTAGCAGGTATTTTTTTTACTTCCAATCACTATGGTTCCCAAACGAAACTTTGAAGACGGCCGTTTCGTCCTTTCCCACTCTTCTTGCAACTTCAGCGCTTCCTTGGGCGACAAATTCAAATGATAATTTCTCTAAACAAAAATGAGCATTGTATAATATTGTATATATGTATTGATATGTATATGTATGATTTGGCAATCTGGTAATGAATAATCATATTTATGTATCTCGAAATATATATATATATATATGTATAGAGATTCAACTATTTATATATTTACTATATATAGAATTATATAGATCTATTCATTCACTTAATAAATACATACATTGTAGCAGCAATGATAATGAACATACAAACAAACAAGATATATGTACAAAGCTTCATGCTACTTGGCAACTTGGCGTTGCATCAAATTTGTTTCATCTCCAACAGGACATGGACATTTTGAACATCGCACTTAAGCAGTGCTTAAGGAAGTATATAGCAATGTACTCTGCCAAATGATGTTTAAATTTCCAAGCAATAGAATATAGAACATAGAAATTTAAGCGTAGAGTCCTACCCCTGAGTAGGGAGCAAAAAATAAAACACCATTTTTGCAATCAAACCAGCATTGTTTTATTCACGGACCAATTTTCCAGTGGATTTACCCCTAAATTTACCCCTATTCTCACAGGTTTGACGGGTCACTCCTCAAATCTTCGATGGGCATCACAATTAAATCCATCATGTTCATGATCAATCTCAGATCGCCTGCAAAAAAATAGCTGCAAAAAGTGTACATTGTTACATCTCCATTTGTAACCCCAACAAAAGATAGAAAAAACAAATAGAAAAAGTACGGTTTCCTCCGCAGAGTTCGGAGATGTTTCCTCCATATCCAGGTCATCCAGGTCCAACCTGTTGAATCCACAGCATCCGACGATGACTTCAGCTCAGCTTCCGAGGGATTCGCCAAGAGCCTCTGGCTACGTCTCAAGGCATCCGTCGCCAGCTGCTGATCATCGCCACGGAAGACCAAGGTCGGCAGATGCTGCATGTGATGAGTTCCTCACCGAGATTCGCCGAGGACCAAAGAGATGACCTGATTTGATGATTTCCCGAAAGTGATGAACAAAACGAAAAACAAAGGATCAGTATCAATCACTATAGGTAAAACTTAAATGGAAACAGGAAACCGTCATCTACCCGTAGGAGATGGCATGTTGAAACATATTTTATCATATAGATCACTACGTGATGGCTGGTCAAAACCCCAAAAGTTGAAGAAACCAAACCATCCAAGACCGGTCCATTTGAGCTCCAAAACCAAACCATCAAACACCATGCGATTGTTTACATGTTTATAATGTTGGAAGGTCCAAATGCTTGAAACTTGAAATCGCAAAATAAATGCCCGTGCAGCCAAATTTGAAAAATAAATTTCCCATAACTTCTCCTAACTTCCCCTGCACTTGCACCAAAAAAAAAATACAAACTTCATATATAAAGGCTCTGAACCCTACAACAATAATTATGAACCGAATAGTAGCAAACATGAAACATAACCGAATTACCGCTGTTACAAAAAAAAAATCGAAATGGGATGACGACTAGCCAGCAGCCACCAGCCTTTTCCAACCCCCAAACTGGGAACTGGCCCATGGTGACCCATGGTGACCCATGGTGACCCATGGTGACCCATGGTGACCCATGGTGACCCATGGTGACCCATGGTGACCCATGGTGACCCATGGTGACCCATGGTGACCCATGGTGACCCATGGTGACCCTAAACACACATTGACTCAAACGTGGGAACCAAAAACCGTGTGAGAATCTATAATATGTATGAGTTGGCGATCAAATGGTGTTATTGTCCCATCAAAACTCGTGTAAACAAAAAAACCGTAGTTGTTCTTTCCCATTTCTAGATTTTTATAGGTCATTAGAATTTACATGTATTCTATTTGTATAGCTATTAGGTGATTGGAAAACTCTAAGTAGCTCCTTGGCTCCCCATTTAATAGGGAATATGAATACCCCTGGCTCCTTGGCTCCCTCCTAACCACTGGATAGATAGGTCGTTGTTCCCATTTTATGAAATCAAGTACCGTACGCTGAGGAGTCCTGTGGTCTTGCCCCATCCAGTGCCCAGAACGCTCCGTCTTGCCACGTCGATCTGATGGAAACCTTTCGAGGGAGCCCCTGGCTGATGAGACCCCCATAAGCTGCCACTCTTGGGGCTTCTTATGGGTTTGTCTGAAAATAGGGTATATTCCCAATTATAGCCATTTAATAGGGATAATGATCATTAACCATTGGGTTTAGGGGTACACTATTTTCAGACACACCCTTATGGGTAGTATCGGGAGCATGGGAGGGTGCATGATTGGGGGTACTTATAAAGAGCTGAGCAATCTCGAAAACTCAAGGCTCACGAATTTGGGACAACAAATTTGAGCCCCATCGCTTACCACAGGTTTGTACAAACATGATGGATGGCAAAATTGGGGGATATCGCTTAAAGGCAAATGATGTATGTGCACAGATATGACATAAGCTTCACAGGGGGGTATCGCTATTTGGGAAGCTCCGAAATCGCTTTTTCCATTAATGTTTGCACAACTTCAACCCAAGGATGGGGGATTCGTCCGAATGATCATACATTGCCGATCATACGCACTGACATGTATAACTATAACATAATCCCAACAAAGATATTGGTGAACTATGGTGAACTATAAGTCTATATATATATATATATATTAGGCTGATTCAGTTTATTTTGGTATCACTATTTCAATTTAGTGGGATTGTAATGGGGATTCCATGGCAACCAACTTGAGCGCGGCTCAAGTCATTGGCATGAACATGGCCATAGAAATAGTGGATTTACCCATGAAAACATGGTGATTTTCCAGTTCGTTATGTTAGTTGGTTTACCAGTGGGTATATCCCAGAATATGTATTGACGGGATATATATATATATATAAATAAATAAATAAATATACAAGCAACAATGGGGCTGTTTGGGTTCTCAAATGTTCTCAAACTGGGGGACCGGCCCTCAATTCATGAAGAAAAAAATGATGAACTGATTAAATCATGGGATTTTGTGGTTCCCAATTGTTGCGCAGCACCATTTACTGTTTCCCATAGGATCCATGTATGGTATATATGCTAACATTTGGGGTATATTGATGGTAAATGTTACCATATATAGCATACATGGATCCTATGGGTTTTTGTTTAATACATTCGGATCATGCGAAAGCCCTTGATCATTGGAATTACTGACCGTACTTCTCGAGGTGGTCATGTCAACAAAATGCACATGTGAAAGGACGTGAAAGAACAAAGGAACCCATGTCATCAAGTTTACCTGTTCGACACTCTCAAAAATCTGTAAAAAAACATCGCACCTTTTGGCAATGTATGTTCATCTATTGAATGTAATGGAATCAAAGAGAATTCGCCATGGACCTGCTACAGTTCAGCAAACCACATATTGCTGATGATACCACAATTCCACATAAAGGTTGAAATCCCATTTTTTCCAACATTTTGTCATTTTGAAAGACAATGTTTTTATACTCAACTCCTTCAATTTGCTGCCTAAGTCTCAATCTCTAATCTCCAATGTTACTTCCCTCCATTTTGGGGATTAAGCATTGCTTGAAACCCAAGTCTTGCCAGGTTTCCTACGTACTTAAACCTTCCAGCTTGGTGGTTATGCACCCCTTTTCGTTGGCGAGCTACGTTCCAGTCCCAGCATGGATCTTAGCTCCTGCACCCTCCGCAAGCGTTGAATGAGGCTCAGCTCCGAAGTGCCTGGGAACGGTGTAATTTGGCTGGAAAAAACTACTAGCAATAAACCTATACCATCTGGTTATTTAACATAGCCATGGAAAATCACCATTTTTAATAGGTAAACATGGTAAACCATCTATAAATGGGCCATCTATACCATGGCTATGTTAGTCATAACCAGAGGGTAACCCAGCTATAAATGATATAAACTCCGATAAGTAGTTGGATGATTTTCCCAGCCATAGCTAGCCACCATTGGATTACCGGAGGCCTGGGGAATCAAACATTTTATGGGGAGATAAATGGTGTAATATATTGGGGTATATATAAATGGTAATGACAACTAACAAAACAACAATCATCATCAATGTTCATAAAGAATGATAGTAATATATGAGACCATCTGGTAATTTAATATACCCTCTGGTAAACAAACATAACTATTGAAAATGGCCATTTATAGTGGATTTACCCATTAAAAATGGTGATTGTCCATAGTTCTGTTAGTTTACCAGAGGGTATATAGCTGTGGAGAAACATCATTTCTTTAACCGGTACATCATCGAACAACAAATGGGCCATGGCTTCCACAGCCAACTGTTAAATTGGGCAATAACATCATAGTTATGACAACAAAAAAAGAACAACAACGACAAGAGTAACAATAATTGTCATAGCACAACAACAACAACAACAACAACCACAACCACAACCACAACCACAACAACAACAACAACAAACATAATATCACCATAATATGAGGACAAGAACATAATGACGGTCAATAAATGTAATATTGGATTATGTACATTTTCTGGGATGATCATTCATCCTGGGAGTAAAGGGGATATCAACTGGACTACACTTGAAATATCGTAAGACCTTATGTGAATAGAATGAAGCATGGTCAACAATATGGAGCGTGTGGGATAGAATACATGGGAGATGATCTCGGAAGATAATATTGGATGTAAGCTTTGACTACAATATACTACAATGATCTTCATATCATAATTCGATTTAGGAATTGCGATATAATCTCCGGAATTCCTATCTACAGATTTTGAAAATGGGATACCTTTACTTACCTTGCTATTTGTTATCATGCTTGTGAGATTGATCTTGGCAATCCGAAACCAGATAGTACCCTCTGGTAATTTTAACATAGCTAGTGAAAATGGCCCAGTCGAAATACTATGAAATAGTTGATTTACCCATTAACAATGGTGATTTTCCATAGAAATAGTGGATTTTCCCATTTTCATAGCATGGTGATTTTCCAGTTCGTTATGTAAATGTTTACCAGAGGGTAATGTGGTAAACCCAACAATACTGGTCGTCACCATCCCCAAATGGGAGCTATGTTTATGGCATTCGTTGATATACATGCAAATACAAATTGATAAATTTGATATGTAATATATATATATAATGTCATAGTCAATGTATTTATGTATGTATGTATATATATAGATTTGTTATTATATTGTTATTATTATTTTTTGTGAAACCTGGCGCAAATCAGCACATGTGGGAAACCTTGAGTCTGAACAAGGGGTATACATAGTCCCAAATAACCTGGTTGGTGGTATACCTACCCCTCTGAAAAATATGAGTTCGTCAGTTGGGATGATGAAATTCCCAATATATGGAAAAATAAAAAATGTTCCAAACCACCAACCAGTAGATATATAATGATATAGTCTTCTGAAATTTGGAATTGAGCCAGTACATAATCAGGGTTTTGAAGCAAACACTGACACTTACATTGTCTGTTCGAGAGCTGAAAATGGCTGGTGGGTGATGGGAATTCGCTGGATGAGTTTCACATAGTTTCACCATCTACAGCTGCCATTGGGACATTCTGGATGTAACCGTCTAAATTCTGATGGAAAATCTGAGGCAAAAATGAGCCCCAAAACAACATTGGTTTCCTCCAAACTCACAGCGAATGGAGCCTGGGTATGGCTCGCAATAATGATACCAAACTTTCATGATTGACTGCCTTGCATCCTCTAAAAAAAAAGACTCGATTCCACCAGAGGACTCATCTCCTCTCCTCTCATTTCAATGAGCCGATAACATCCAGCCGTAGCCGCATGGGTCTTTTCCAAGCTGCCATCCTCAGGCGTGGGAAAGAAGACTTTCAGAAGTCCTTCGCACCACAAGGTCTGCAGAATCTTCCATTCAGCCGCTGCAGGAGCCCATGGCTGCTTTGCCAGCTCTCGGAGGTACCTCGGGCCGTGGCAAGTGGCAAGTGGTGCAGCTCCAAAATCGCCGTAGTCAACTAAGAAATTCTGTTTAATGTAGGTAAAACAAGAATAAACCATCCCCCAGTCACCATAAATAAAGGGAAAAGCCATTCTCAGTCTCAGTCATGGGTGGTTTATGACATTGTTTCACCCACAGTCACCATTAAAACACCGCATCATCCCCATGAATTCTATTGTTATCCCATGATTATACCATGATTATCCAACTATTATCCCCTATAACAATTAATGTTAGTTAATGATGGTTACCCTCTGGTAAACGTTTACATAACTATGGAAAATCACAATTTTCAATGGTTAAATCCACTATTTCTATGGTCATTTTCACTAGCTATGCTAAAATTACCAGAGGGTAATCATGCTTAATCCTCCCTTGATGGCTTCAGTCCGAGATCGATCCAAGTCAGATAAGTCAGATCCGGTGGCGGAAAGACCCATGGGCCCATGGGGAAACCCACAACCAATTGGGCATCAATAAAACTATATATATATATATACATATATACATTATATGGGAAAAACATCAGCAAAATATGTCCAGGGGATGTTCCAGCAAGCAATGGAAGTGATAACACCAAAGGGATCCAAAGGGTAAATCCTCGAACAAAACGCATATGAACCATGGTCAAAACACATAGTATATGGTTTATGGCCATCCATCCCACGATATAATTCCTTATAATGGTTATCTCCTTTTATGGCAAAACAAACCATGTTTTTGACCATGGCACATATGCAGTAAAACCATGTTCTTCTCATTTTCTGCAAGCCTGACCTCCAAATTATCCCTTCGATGAGTCACAACAGCGTCAGTAGACTCGCAGAGCCCAAGCCCAACAGCTTCCAGCGATGGTCATCGCTTGTCAAAAGGACCATTGCTGCGGACTTTGGGCAATGGACCAGAAAAAAAAAACAAAACCTAGCAATTTATGGGTATTTTAATGGTTCACCATGGTCAACCAGCCAAAATTGGGGATTAACATGGCGATTTACACAATGTTTCGGCCGAGTAAATCAACAATCTTGGTGATGTGTTGAGTTAATGAGTTGATGTGTTGATGGTGATATGAGTTAACAATCAATAGGTTAAGTGACTTGCCGACTGACCAGCAGCAGATCAGAGAAGTTCTTTTCGAACATTACGCAGCTGGTTGGTGGTTTCATTCACATTGTTTATGTACCGTCTGGTTATTTTGACATAGCCATGGAAAATCACCATGCTATTAATAGGTAAACCATCTATAAATGGGCCATGGCCATCTATACCATGCCTATGTTAGTCATAACCAGAGGGTAAATCAACAATCCAACGGTCATTCATTGGGGACCCCCAATTGGAACAATCGCTGGATGCCAAGGAGATTGTGACCTCAACAAAGACACCGGGTATCGTCTTTTTTTTTGGGCAAAAACCTATGGTTAACATTTGTTAACCATGGATTGGTACTTCTATATTACATATATTACAGTGTCTGCTAAAGCGTGCTTGAGCCACAGGTTACCAATGATCACTTCAATGGTCAGTCGATCCATGGGTAATCTATCAAACAGGTGATGATAAACCATCAAATACTGGTTGTATCATGTTGTATCAATATCATGATGGCTATTGTATCAATAAACCATCAATATCATGTTTTTTTTTGTGGTTTGATACAGTACCCCTTCTGTGTAATCAAAAATTGTAATGATGATAAAGCCATCAAATCGGTAACCGGGTGACCAATGGTCGGTGAGGAACACGTAGCAGGAACAACAACAACAACAACAACAACAACAGCAATAGCAACGATTCAGAAATAGCCTCCGGTAATCAAACGTGGCAATTGGATCCCCGCACTAAATGGAGGTATATAGCTGGGAAAATCATCTACAAAGACATATTTGGTGGATTCTTGGTTGCCATATTTGAGAGGGTAATTGTGAAGGAAGATCAAAATCTGTCATCATAAAACATTGGAATCATTGGACTATACCATTCATTGCGGATCATCATCCCAGTTTCAGAGATGGAAGAATTCACCCAGTTATAGTCCCAGAATAGGCTGCAGGCTGCAGCCAGACTCCAGACTGGAATATACCCCAATTTTACAGCTATGACTTCCCCAACTATAAACCTCTACAGAGTTTTTTCCGGCCGTTTTTTCCTATGAATTGTCCAACTACAAGTTCCGAGTTACGTTGGCCGTACCATGCCATACCCGCCTGTTCCTCCATTCCTGGGAGATACAGATACACCAATGAAAACAGCCTGATAGCATATGAAACAGCTAATTTGCAGCGATATCATGGCTATTTCATGAGTATCTCATGGGTATTTTATGGGTACGTTCTGCGGGTTTCATGGATCTCTAATGGGGATTCAAATGTATCACTTCGTGTACCCAGTATGTCATGGGCATGGGGTCAATCCTGGTCATTTCTAGTGCACCAATAAAATCAAGTCCGGCTATGCTGCGGGTGATATCCATTCCCGTTCCTTTCTCAAAAGAAAAGAACTGCTTACCATTTACTGGTAGTGGGTACTTATGATGATCCAAATAGCCATTATTCTTGAAACATGTGTGTGTAGAGAGAAAGAGAGAGAGAGAGAGGTAGAACCATTGTCAACATATATCAACATGTTTCTCCCGCCATGAGTATTGTTATATAGATCGCAATCATATATGCCAGTTATGCAATTCCATTTCTGGGTACTCTCCCATTCGCAGCTCCTCTCGCTCATCTCGAACCTGACGGCATTGATATCATTGATCCCTGAGATTTATAACAACTGGATGTATCTGGATTTATAACAAGCCCAATGGAGGGAACAGTTAAAAGCCTGGAGGCTTTATGGGGATACGGCCCCAACATTGTGATCGATCCCATCCTGGAAATACCCGACAAGATGCACGTGATGCTGCGGGAAGGGATCTATCTACGAATCGACTTCAAGATTGCTATCCACCAATATCCACCATGAAAATTGCTGGGTTATTGTCATCTGAATTCATCAGCCAAAGTTGTGGAAGTTACATCTCCACCACAAGCGGTGCCTATGAAATATGACCCATGGAGTCAGGCACCCAAAGTGACCCAAATCATCCCAAATCCACATTTCTTTCGCTCCAAGCAGAGACATGGTATCTTGATGTATATGTTGTTAAGTCTTGGGTTTCTTGGCGGAAACCTGGCCTCCGCCGTCAGAGCAACATCAGGCCAACATCGCAACTTGCGCGCAGCTTCTGGTGACGCGACATGCGGAAGTTTTTCAGCAATTTCAATAGGTCTCTCTGAGAGTTATGGAATTGTTGGTCCCATAAACAACCACAAGTACCTAAGGCCAAGTGGGCTTGTCTGTGAAGCATATAGTAGCCAACATTCCACGCTTGATCAACATGATCAAACATATTTGCTGGAGCATTGGTGACACCGTCTTTCTGTTGTTTTCTAACCCATTTCTATTTTGCCCGTGGGATGCTTGGCCAGTGATGGTGCCGCAGTTTGACTCGAACCTGGAGCTTTTGTGGCTACAGGAATCTGTAGCTGCATAGCGGCCCTCATGGTATTTTCACATCTCATTGTGCGTGGGTTGGGCAGTGAAAGGACAACAGAAATGCAGAAATGCATGGGGACACGAAGCTCGTTGGGATAAAAATAGACAACAGCGTATGAAAATATATGAACATATGGACCGCGCATAGCATATCCTGACATTGAGAGACATGCAAGCATGTTGAAAGATGCAACTGGAATCACGAAAATGCAAGAGTAGATGTGAGCGAACTGATTGGAGCAGTGTTCAGCTTGATCCATGTTCCACCTCATTGTTATTGCGCATGTCACAATGAATGTCACGCACTTCTGAGTGTGGTTGTGCAACTGAACTGAGCATAGCATGATGGTGCATGAACACATGCTCAAACATGAACGTGCATTCACGAAGGAAAATAATAATGTCAAAGCAGTCCTATACCAAAATGCACGTGCTATTGAGAATGGGTGGGTATCTCCCTCTTCCCGAATCACTTGAGAACATTCACTGTTTCTACTGTGTATCCATGTTTGCCTTTTCTTTACCCTTTACCAATACTGTCGTACGTCCCCAGAATTCCGTACCGCTACTTGATCTCTTGAGCTCCAGTCCAACTGTCAACCAGTCTATTCCTACAAAATATTCCGGTATAATCTATTCCCACAAAAATATCCCGATACAATGGTGAATTTCAATCCCCAATCATGTGGGAATGTAGGGGAATGTGTATATATATATAATTAATATACTTCACGTGTTTTTGTTGGCAATAAATTAATCCGTTTTTATAGTCCCATAATTTCATTGTTTTATATCCTCCATTATGTTCCTATATTCCTCTGCTACCCCTATGAAAAAAATACCTTTCTTGCCAGGTAATTCATTGACATGGACCGTGGTTTCCAAAGCAAACTCTTAAATCACCAGAGTCTATGTTCCCAATGGTGATGGTTACTCCATGATTGATGATTACTCTTCATCTTAAGATGGTTACTAAACTCTTCATGTTCTGATTCATATATATTCAATTATATTCATATATATTCCCCATAGTCAAACATCTTTGATGGTTACTCCATGTTACTCCCAATTTTCTTGGGCCATGAACCCCCCCCACGATATCGGCCGCAAACTTCGGTCATACCAGCTGACAGCGCTCTCTTTGTGAATCGAAAAACGTCGAAACGTGCCATTTCACAGCTCCGTGAAGTGTCGACGTCCGGGGCATAGGACGCACCTACGAAACGTGGATTTGTTGGAGGTTTTGGTACAACACCATTTCCAAACATACCGCGTCTGGCAAGCGCGTCATGCGGTTGGAGCCTCTGGTGGTCAAATTGCCCTTGAATTGCAATCGAAAATCCCATGAATCATCTCACTTGTTGAGACCTCATGTCATATTTCGACCGGCAACCTCCTTACCAGTGGGCTGACCGGAAGCAAAGGGATCAAATATTCATTTCCACCAGTCGTGAGAATGACAATACCAGCGCCTCTCCTGCTTTTCCTCCAAGTTGTCCAAAAAGCGAACCTAGAGAGGTAAGCATGGATACCAAAACGAGAAAATCTAAGGTATTTGAAAACAAAATGCCTAATATATATATATATATATACATACATACATAATCATATATATATATATATACATATGTAGGGGAAGAGAAACTTTACATATCTTTAATATGTACATGTGCATTCATCTATCAATCAACCTATCAGCCTATAAATCTATCAATCTATCAATCTACCAGTCCACTATCAATCAATCAAACCATCAATCCATCAATCTATCAATCAATCTATCTATCGTTCGGTCTATTGTAAAAAAACATGTGTATGCGAGTATGCGAGTATGTGTATATATATATGATTATATATATATACAATATAGTTAAAGACATGCTGACACATGTATACTGTATACAGTTGTGCCAACCAACAAATGCAGAGGACCTGTTTTCTCAAGATTTGATACCCGTGCCGTGGTGACGCCAGTGGACTGAGACTCCCGGCGCCGTCGAAAAAGCCCGGCAAGTCGCTGCATCCGATGTGGATGAGCGCCGCTGACGACCCGTCGCCTCCGTGTCAAACCATGCGCTTCATGGCAGCCAGAGCCTGGCGCAATGTCTCGTTGGGATTGTTGTGATATCTTGAAATTTGTAGATATTTTATTAAATCTGAGAAATTGTTTATGCCTTTCTTGTCAAATCTGAGAAATTGTCAAATCTGTGCTCCTTTCTGCTCCGAAACAGGCCGGCCGCCGCATTCTTGGCCACTTTGTGGGTGGGGTCCTTCGAGAAGATTTGGAGCTGGCAAGCTGTTTACCTCAAGGATCATCCCACTCAGTAACTGGCTAGCAACTGGGCTTA